AGATGTGTATAAGAGACAACCGTTGAGCAGTGTCAGTGACATTAGCTGCGTGTGACAGCGACGTTGTTTCGACATCGATAGGGTGGAGCCCTGTTCCGGACACCTAGGCCTACCGATAGCGCACATGCGTTTCGGAACTGGTTTTAAGTTCATGTAGTTTAAGTCAAATTTGTTTACTCCTTGTGGTTCTTTGTTGTAAAGCGCATTGGGGCTTTATGCGGAATGTGCTACAAAAGAATTGACTTACTATTATTATTACATACTGTAAATAAACGTCAAGTATGTATTGCAGGTTGACGTCCTATTCACTGTACCAGACATAGATCTATAATTGGCATTGTTTGTGTTTGTAAGAGTAATTAGGCCTAAGACTATAACAGAGAATTCTATTAATATTCATGCCCACTTTGCCATCAATTCTTGCAAATACGAAAATAAGTTGTTTAAATATCCGACTAAATCCCAAGACACGTCAATTAAAATACAGTATAAGCTTAAATTTATTTACTATTCGTGAAATTGGTGTTGAGATGATGATTTAGTGCACACGAAGTTATGGATATGCGTTTTAAAAAGATGTAACATTCAATTATATAAATAATAATAATAATTACATAAAATGTCAAATAATGATTTTGGTTTAAAGTTATATAATATATTTTAGGGCCCCGGTATTCGATAATAGAACACCAGACTCCCCCTCCCATGTCAATACTCTACGCCACAATGCCAGAGTAGGTGGTCGTGCTTCTATTAACTGTACAGTACTGAAAATCGGCCGGAAAAATGATCAAATTTTAGCAATGTTGGGCGGTCGGATCCAAATAAAGCATTTTTACTTCAGTATGACGAATGTTTAGTATAGTTTTTATTTGAATGTGTACGGCTTCCAGCTGATAATTATAACGTCATTTTGCTCGTCAGTTAAATGTGTCAATGTTCTCGCATAGCCCATACATTTCTTATTCTCATTAGCCTAATGGTCCTAAAATGTGTTAAAGTCAGATTCCGGAGGAAAAAACAATTTCATATGTTGTAGAACTTATTTTACTAAGACAGAAAAAAGTAGTTTGATCAAAAACTGAGCAACGGTGAATGAGATTTTTTTTTTTTTTTTTTTTTACAGATTTTTGAATATTTAACTGGGGAAAAAGGTGTAAAAATGGGCGGTTTCTACAACATATCAAACAAATTTTTTTCCTCAGGAGCCTGACTTTAAGTAATGGGCCATTAGAATTCATACGCCAATTTTGTTTCAAGCTGTTTGTTTTCAAAATTATACGATGAAAATGTTTTAAAATCGTATTGTATAACTCTCCAAAATTTGATCTATAGGCAAACAGAAGGCTCTGAATACAAGCTGACCAAGCATGTTGCTGCATGATTAATGTTCAGATGCGATCACTATTCAAACAGAGAACAGCTATTTAGACGTGGAAAACCGTCAGTCAGTCGTTGTTGGTGTGACTTTTTTCAGATGAAATTGTGAGTGTAAAGATTGTTTAATATTTTCTAGTACTAACATTATTTACAGCTCCCGAAACTGGTCTATCCTATTGTTTAAAGAAGCGTTCGCTATACGTAGACTACACCCTTTGCTTAACAATGGGCTCAGAGCTTCAAAAGAGCTTTCTTTGTTTTTATAGGTATCTTTGATCATTAGCGTAAGAATGCTTTGATCTTTTGTTTAAATCACTGCTATGTCACCTACTAGAGGTAATGTTTTGATTGGTTAAACACTTTTGGTACTAGTGCATATAAGCTTGCTAATATGGATATTTTTTTCATTCC